CATTCAAAGACATAAATCTATATGCAGCACTATTTTGAGCATAACCAATGAAAATAGCATCAAAAGTCTTGGGTCCAACAGATACTTGTTTAAAATCAGGTAGACCAACCTTAGCAAAACACCCCTCACACTTTCAGAATTTTCAAGTTAGGGGCAAACCCTTTCCATAACTCATACGGGGTTTTATACAACTTCTTATGAGGGACTTTATTAAGAACATAGCATGCAGATAAAACAGCTTCCCCCCACATATTATCAGATAAACCCGAACTCAAAAGCATAGAATTCATTATTTCCTTAAGGGTTCTATTCTTCCGTTTGGCTACACCATTTTATTGGGGAGTATAGGGAGCACTAACCTCATGTATAATATTATTTTTCTCACAAAAGGCTTCTAGAGTATTAGTACTATATTCACCATCCCTGTCAGATCTAAGTCTCTTGATTGTTCTGTCTAATTGATTTTCTACTTCTGCCTTGTATTTCAGAAACATGTTTTCAGCCTCATCTTTTGACTTAAAAAGATATACCTTAGTGTATCTAGAAAAGTCATCTACAAAGGTGATGTAGTATTTCTTTCCACCCTTGCTAACAGTGTTTTTGAAATTTGCCAAGTCTGAATGCACTAGTTCAAGAAATTCTATTTATCTACTTACATTCTTAAAAGGCTTTTTGGTATGTTTTGCTTCTACACAAACAGGACACTTAAAAAAATTATCAACATTAACTGCAGGAATTAATTCCATTTTTCTAAGTCTTCTAATAGAAGCAATATTAACATGACCCAGTCTACCATGCCACAAATCAATAGACTCAGCAATATAAGCAGAATTAAAAGTACTAGCATTATTAGTAATCTCTTAAGCGATATTCAGTACAAATAAACCCCCACTAAGGTAACTCTTCCCAACAAAGTCTTCCCCACAAGAAATAACAACTTTATCAAATTCAAAAACAAGTTTAAGACATGCTTTGTTGAGAAGCGCACCAGAAACTAAGTTTCTAGGAATGGAGGGTACATACAGAACATTGTTCAAGGCTAAGGTTTTTCCAAAAGTTAACTTAAGGAGAATTCCTTTACCCATTACTCCAGCTACATTAGAGTTACCCATGTAGACACACTCACCATCAGCAGATTCCTCAAAATCGTAAAACAGCTCCTTGTTGGCGCAAAAGTGCCTTGAAGCGCATGTGTCCAGTATCCAGTCAGTCTTGTTAGCCACCATGTTCGCCTCAACAACCACAACAACAATGACATCACCACCCTTAGTAAGGTTAGCTTGGACTGGAGCTTTTCATCCATTCTTTGAGCTTTGTCGTCTTTGGTTGCACAAAAAAGCCTTGTGGCCAATTTTGCCGCAAACATAGCAAGGTCCTTTCGACTTTTGAATATGGCCCTCCGTCTTATTGAAGTAATTCTGCTTCTTCACATGTCCTTTCTTCTGGTCTTTCTTCTGTTTTCCTTTAAACCAGTCTTTCACAAAAGTACGAGAAGATTCTACAAGGTTAGCTTTAGAAAAATTAAGAGAGAGAGATTTTATCTTATCCTTAAGTCGTTCAGAATCCTTATCTTTAAGACGGTTTGCTTCCTCAGTCCTCATATGACTGATCAATTCTTGAAGAGTTAAGTTTTTCTTCTTGTGTTTCAGTTGATTCATGTAATCACCCCATGAAGGTGGAAATTTTTCAAGTAGAACATTAGCCTGAAGAATCTCACACATCTCCATGCCTTCGTTCAAAACATCAGCAGTCAAGTTCTCATACTCGTGAACCTGCTCCATGATTGGCTTATCGTCAACCATCTGAAACTTGATCCACTTACCAACGACATACTTTTTTTTCGGTGTCATCTGCACCATATTTCTTCTCCGACTGTCCCATATGACTTTAGCAGATTTATAATTTATAAACAAATCAAAGAGAGGGTTAGTCATATGGTTAAGTAGATGCCCTCGAACAATTTTATTATCCTTTTCGAATTTCTTCTTAACAGCATCATCATGAACAACAGTAGTAGCAGTGTTAGAACTATCAGCAACAACATCAGCAGGTGATTCATTAAACAAAACGTAATCAACTTCTAATCGTTCAAAGTAAATTAGAAGTTTCTGGGACCAACACTTATAATTGTTTCCATCTAAAGGCTCAAGTTTTACAAATCAGGAAGTGTTTTGTTCAAAAATACTGTATCGTGGCAAGCCACTGCCTTGAAAGCGATTGCAAATCGTTGAGACTGGTCGCTCCCCAAGGTTCTACAACACCTCCAACCATGTGCACTCGTGGCTGGAAGTTTGGAATTTGCACAAAACAATTGCCCAGAAATCGTTTAAAGAAGAGAGATGAAGGTGTATTTTCTATGTCAGATTATTCACAAAGAAGACTGCTTTTTGTAGGCAAAAGCTGTTGAACAGTTACAGATGAAGAAATTAATTCTGTAGCTATTACAGAAATTGAAATTGAGTCATTACCCAGCTGTTACAAGAATTAAATCACGGCTGCTACAAAATAATAAATTGGAGAAATAATTTTAGCAAAAACCAGACTTGGATTATGCCTCAGTATATCTCGCGCGCAGGGGGGGCAAATCGACTCGTTTTGCCTTTAGGACCAACTTCTCATGTGAGATCACTCCCTTTTACTAGCTCTTTACAAGCCCAACAAAGAGTAATTCATTATAAGGTGAAGAAAAAGACTTTTCACAAGCAATGAGGGACACTTTGTCTTTCACAGAAGACAAAGAAGTAAAGAAGAAAAAGGGAATACAAAGAAATTTTTGACTTTGCATTATAAAATATAAAATAACACCAACATAGAGTACAGGTAGGTTCTAGCTGATCATGCAAAGTATGAGTAGGTTCCAAGTGTCGTATAGAACACGCGTATGTTCTAAGTGTTGTGCACTATGGGTAGGTTCCAGCTGTCGTGCATAGTACAGGTAGGTTCCAAGTGACTATACAAAGCAGCGGCATGTTACAAGTTATCGTCCAGAGCACGAATAGGTTCCAAAGGTTGTAGAGAGCATGAGTAGGTTCCAAGTGACCATATTAAGCACGTGTATGTTCCAAGTGATCTTGCAAAGCACATGTAGGTTCCAAGTATCGTGCAAAGTACGGATAAGTTTCAAGTAGCCTTGAAGAGCACAAGTAGGTCGAAGTGACCTTGCAGAGCACAATAGGTTCCAAGTGATCGTGCAGAGCACAGACAGATATCAAGTGTCGTGCATAACACAAGTAATTTGGATTCGTGTTGAAAAAGATAAACATTCAATAAAAAATGCAACTCTATACCTAGAGCTTGAACGTGAACCTTTGATTAAAAATAAAAAAGTATTTACAGCTCTAGCGCAACCCTTATTAAAACATTACATAGGTTGGTTGATGATCGTTGGATTTGGCTGAGGTTTAATTTGTTGGAGGGAAGATGGGTTTGTTACAAGACAACATCAACATGAGAAGGATGTTTCAACTTTATAGCTTTATGCTAGAATAGCGCATCTCTTAATATGATAACTAAGCTTGTTTCTACCCACTAAATCCAAGTCTTATTCTTCCTAAAAAACACATAGACATCTACCAACCAACCCATTCCACGTCAAACACAAGCATTACACTTCAATTTTAAATTAATTGATTTTAGTTATATGAGTTATTATTTTTTTTTTATTTTGCTTTGTAGAATTAATTTCAACTAGTTTGAATCGCTTATATATAACTTTTATTCTTCCAGTACGTTTTATTTCTCATTAATATTTTATGAATTCCATGAGATTATAAATCTGTCAAAAAATTTATCCATGCAATTTTCGATCTAACTCATCCTGTTTTAACACCTCAATTATGATTGTTAATTTCACTCCTAATAAGCACTCTCTCATTTTATCCTCTACTTGTGTTATTTGTATATTATGTCTGATGTGATCATTTTTAATCTTGTCTAATCGTATATGATTGCATATTCCTCTTAATATTTTACATACTACAAGACTAGTTTCGTGGTTACTGCAAGTTCAGTACATATAATTGTTCTATATAAAAAAAAAATGATCAGAAAAACTAATTACATATGTTTTATATAATTTCATTGGCTCCAACAAATTACTCACTCTACTTTCACGTTATATTATGCTCCTTCACTCTAAATACTTAATTTCTTTTATTAGAAAACATAAAAACATTTATTTATTTCAAATTCGTACTTATTACCTCAATTAGTGAAGTATTAGTTAATAAAGGGAGACTTTAATAAAGATAAAACATACTTTTGACAAATACTGTTGTGATAAAGATTATTAAATAAATATTTGTTTTGAAGTGTACAATCCCCTTACAGCTTGTTTGGATGGTTGTTACTTAATGTATTGTATCGTACTGTTACTTTAACAATGTTTGTTTTGATTGTTACTTAAATTTTATTGTATCGTATCGTTAAATCCGTCATTACAAAGTGTCACTTAATGAAACGACGGATTTGGTGTGGCAGCATTATTACCTTACTTTTTTCTCTCATATTGCCCTTCCTTATCATTAAATAATCATATTTTATTCTTTATCCTGCTTTTTTGGACAATAGTTCTACTTTGTATCCTATTTTTTCTTGGTAATATTGCAAGTTTATTCTTCATATTTTTGGTGCGTGACATCATTAAACAACGATAAACGATACATCCAAATATTGTATTCATTAAAAAATACAGTACAATAAAATACGATACATGACATGTGACAACCATCCAAACAAAGCGTTAGAAAACAGATATATCCATAATGTATATTAAGCAAAAAATTTTATCATTTAAATACTTCTACACCGACAATAAATCAATCTTAAATTCATATTACTGACACCACAATGATTGGACCAGACTGAACAGAGCTGGATTTTTTGGACAGCAGTAAAACCGTGTCTACCGACACTAACTCTGTATTAAATTCTTTAATACTATGGAATTGAGCTGTTTATTTAAGGTAGTTTGACTAAATTAAGGTAAGTCATAAATATGAGAATCCCAACTACCCCAGTAAAAATACATAATGAATCTACCCCATATTTTGATCAAAATTACTCCCATTTTCTTACTATATAAAGACATTTTTCATTACCAACTTCCTTGCCTCTCTATATTCATTCTTTGACAAGAGATCCTTTTGCACCAACTTTTTAAGGTCTCATTTCTCTATCCCTCTCTATTTCTACATTTAGTTCTTTGTGTTTGCAGCGCTTTTCAATTACTTGTAGTATTTCTTTTCTCTTTCTAGATTTGATTCACGTAAATGCTTGCATTAGAGTAGGTTATCTACACTATACCCTAAGGTTGTGGCGCTTCCCTTGATCCTGCGTAAATGTGAAATTCTTTGTGCGCTGGGCTGACCCTTTAGACCTAATTCACATATTTTATGTTCTTGAATTTATAGAAATGGTCCAAACTTAGGTCTTGAGATGCTGCCTTTAACTTAGTCTAGTGTTTGTATTATTCTTATTCGTGGGTTTATTTTTTTAACATCATGTTTAAGAGGACTCTTAAAAACACAAGAATTGAGTTAGATCTGAAGCTTATTTAATTTATGTGTAATATCAATCAAGATTCATACTTTGTTAGTCCATCGGAAACAACCTCTTTACCAAGGTAGAGTAAGGTCTGCGTACACATTACGCTCCCTAGACTCCACTTGAGGGATTACACCGGGTTTGTTGTCGTTGTTGTTGTAGTATTCATACTTTGTTTAAAACTTAGGATACTACGTCTGCCACTACATTTACTTGGTGTTTTTATGATAATTCTCAAGTGTTTACACCAATCCAATAGACACATGACATGTGTCTTTACATAAACTGATATCTCTAACCATAGTTAATTAATACACATTCTTACCTTAAGTTTATCGCTTACCATTGTATATTAATGTAGTTTGGTGTGAATGTACCACTGTCAAACGATAAAATGATGTGACAGTGTGTATCAATTAAATATGATTTAGTGACTATGTTGCTCCGACTCTCTGAAAATATCCGTGTGTGTCGGATCCTTCAAAAGTAGTGCTTTTTGGAGGATCCGGCAGGGTTGCGACAACATTTTGATGAGTCCATGCAGCATAGTTTGGTATAACCGTATGTTTTTATCGGATTGGTGTAAACACCATGCTGGATAAATTTCTTTTTTTCAACTCAATTGTGATTTTTGAATTCTTCTCAATTACTGATGTCATCTAATTTTATTAAGTGCAGCTTTAAAGAAATGGAGACATTCTTGTTCACATCTGAATCTGTTAATGAGGGACATCCTGACAAACTCTGTGACCAAGTATCTGATGCTGTTCTTGATGCATGTCTTGCTCAGGATCCTGAAAGCAAAGTTGCTTGTGAAACTTGTACTAAGACCAACTTGGTCATGGTCTTTGGTGAGATCACCACCAAAGCCATTGTAGATTATGAGAAAATCGTTCGTGATACATGTCGTGCGATTGGATTCGTATCCGCTGATGTGGGGTTGGATGCTGATAACTGCAAGGTTCTTGTGAATATTGAACAGCAGAGCCCTGATATCGCGCAAGGTGTTCATGGTCACTTAACCAAAAAACCAGAGGAAATTGGTGCTGGTGATCAAGGTCACATGTTTGGTTATGCCACTGATGAGACACCTGAATTGATGCCCCTTAGCCATGTTTTAGCTACTAAACTTGGCGCTCGCCTTACTGAGGTTCGCAAGAATGGAACTTGTGCGTGGCTCAGGCCTGATGGTAAAACTCAGGTGACTGTTGAGTATTACAATGACAATGGTGCTATGGTTCCGGTTCGTGTCCATACTGTCCTCATCTCCACTCAACATGATGAGACTGTTACAAACGATGAAATTGCCCGTGATCTGAAAGAGCATGTCATCGAACCCGTGATACCCTAGAAGTATCTTGATGAGAACACAATTTTCCACCTTAACCCTTCGGGCCGATTTGTCATTGGTGGACCTCATGGTGATGCTGGCCTCACAGGCCGAAAGATCATTATCGATACTTATGGGGGGTGGGGTGCTCATGGGGGTGGTGCATTTTCAGGAAAGGATCCTACTAAGGTTGATAGAAGTGGTGCATATATTGTAAGACAAGCTGCAAAAAGCATTGTTGCCAATGGTCTTGCTAGAAGGTGCATTGTGCAGGTTTCATACGCCATCGGCGTGCCGGAACCACTGTCTGTGTTTGTTGAGACTTATGGAACTGGAAAAATACCAGATAAGGAAATTCTCAAGATTGTGAAGGAGAATTTTGATTTTAGGCCTGGTATGATGTCAATTGACTTGGATTTAAAGAGAGGTGGCAACAACAGATTCTTGAAAACTGCTGCTTATGGTCATTTTGGTAGAGATGATCCTGACTTTACATGGGAAGTTGTTAAGCCTCTCAAGTGGGACAAGCCTCAATCTTGATTCTTATGCAGTTGTTTCTTCTTTAAGTTTTTCAATATCTTAAATTTCTTTTATTCTTGGTTTAAGAAATATTGTTCTGAACTTTCTTGGGAAAGTGGAGTATACTTGGCATTATTGGTTGAGGTTATAAACTCTTGCCTTTTGTTATATGTTGCTGTAGGCAGTAGGCATGCTAGAACCTTTTTTGGTCCAAAAGGTACTTGGCCACTAGCTTTCAATTCATTCACTAATCATAAACATGTTCAATTAACAACTTGCAATAACCAGTATTTAGTAATATTTTAGTTCTTTAATTATATGTCTCGCTGTAAGATTCCGAGGGTCTCCCGGAAACAGCTTCTCTACCCCTCCGGGGTAGGGGTAAGGTCTGCGTACACTCTACCCTCCCCAGACCCCACTAGTGGGATGATTACTGGGTTGATGTTGTTGCTGCTGCTGCTTGATTGTAAGATAGTGTTGGTTTGTGAGCATTACAATAATGTAAAACCTGCTATAGCAATAGTATAAGACTCTTTATTTTACTTAAACTCATTGATTAACAAATAGTGAAAACTTGAATTTAAGAAAGACTCAAGAAAGGAATATTTCTCTAATATGTTAGATAAAGATGTTCAATTAGTAGTGGCTGTCTCAGATTCCCATTGGTCGATCTGCTATGTGGAACAAATCTTTATCCAAGTAATCCTGAATCAGAAATGACAAGTTTGACAATGATGAATTATACTAAAACTATACAAAGAAAAATGAAAGATTGCAAGGGAGGCTTGGGCGACGAAAGAACAGCTAAAAACAACAAAGTTGATGAAAAATGTAACAGCTTATCCAGATTTTACCTAAATGGAAGCAAAGAAGTCAATTTAGCAGGAAAATGATGTGCTCAGACCATAGATGTAAGAAATTAGTACTCTATGAAAAGAATATAACTTCCCTATTGTAATTAGAGCTTCTCATATATTTAATGAAGAATTAGTAAAAAATAAAATATACATAGAGTTGGAACTCTCCAGTTATATTGCGGTCAATAAATTCAGAAGAAGAAAAACAAGTCATGATATCCTATACTATCTTCTATAACCTTGATATTAGGTTATACCTACTTTAGATGGAGCCATACTTCAGCAGCTCCCACCTGAAGGGTCTAAACGAATAAAGAACCTCCGGTGAGCTTTTGAATAGCAAAGCTACACAAACGCAGATGGTAGCAATTGCAACCATTGAAAGCATTGCCGGTTTGTATATTGCAAGTGATGATCCCGAGTTTCCATAATAGAGTTTCTGGTCGCACTGTCTGCAATGTGTTTGAATTGGTTTCCTTAAAGACTTCTCAGTTTGTAAGCTAGCAACTTTAACAGACCTATGACCATCGGATAGTTTCTGCGTGATACTGCTATCCAACAACGAACCAGGGATATCGAGAACAACATGCCCATCACCTGGTTTCTGACTGATTTTCTTTTGGACAATATGAATATACGAGTAATGGCCTCGCAAGCATGCATAATCATTAGGTGTCAGTCCGGTACTGTCACAGGCACTTTTCCAGGCTTCAATTCCCACCTGAAGAAAACAATCATCAGCTCCTTGAAATACCTGGCTAACTCATTCCTCTCCAAACAAGGGAACCAGAGAAAAATACAGAATAGATGTTCTAAAAATTCTTAAGTAAACCACTAAGTATTCTACAGCCATCCGGGAACAAAGTGCAACTATATCAACACTGATAAAGAGGAAAAAGTGAAGGTCATTGCTGATCTCATCATGCTTCACAGCCCCC